AATTTGGATATTCTCGATGTCTGACCACTAAAAGTGAGCAGGAGAAGTGTGGTCGTCCAGTTTCTCAAAAAGAGTAATAAGACATTTTTCAAAGGTGCGCAGGACCGATCTCCGTAGCCTATAGGGGAAGTTTATTCTCAGAAGAGGATGTCGTACGGGTGATAAAACTATTTTATATCAATAAAGGATAAAATTAAATAATGCAAATAATTAGAGACGAATAAATATAATCATTGATAACTAATATCGGTTGATTTTACAACAAAAAAAAATATGCGACATTAATTTTGTTACATGATTTTAGGTAATAAATATTTATGTCATACATAATGGACATTTACTTTGAATTTATTTTTGAGATAAACGGAGCAAAAGAAATCGTTGAAAAAGTTAAACTTTTTTCCAAATTTGCATTTATTTTACGATTGCCAAATGCTGACATATTTCGTTACAAGGATTGACGTAATAGATAATAAGCATTGCAATTATTATTTGTGTTTTATTTTAAATATAAAATGTATTTTTGTCATTTAACAATAAGAGTTCATCGCTTTTGTTTATGACTACAACAGATTTTGTTCTATATGTGGCAAATTTTGTTTACACAAATTGCAAATTTTTAGAAGAACCTGCTAAGCATAATTTAAAATAAACATTGAGTTTGTCGCCGTCATGCAGGCTAAAGAAGGTTAATATCGTCATTTATGGGTCAAGGTTTACACTACTATAACAAAATTCCTATGGAAAATTTAAATTTACCATTACCTAAGTTTAAAACCCATATTAAAAATTGTCTACTCAGTAAAGGATATTATACTGGTAATGAATATTTAAACGACAAAACTGCTTGGTGTTAAATATGGCTCATTTTTCATATATATTAAATTGTTTATCGGTGAGCTTCTTTGGCTACACATGTGATTGGATTGACGAAAATACTGTTTTAATCTTATATTTTGTAACATGGTAATGGAAAGTGACTTCAAATTTAAATGAAGTCATTTTTCAATCTTGACGCTCTGTATGAAATAAAACAGGGAGAAAAAAGCAGCCCTTGCCGAGTTTTTTGCCGGTACTTCTCGGTACAAGGTAATCCCGCCGTAGATTTACGAACCGTTGGCGTAGCTGTCGAACTTCACAAGTGCTTGTAACAGCCTAGATTGAATAAATGAATTTGATTTTGATATTGATTTTTGATTTTTTTGATTATAATCACTGTATGTACGCAATGAACATAATGAACCAATATAAAAATTGGGCTGAAGTTTATGTTTCGGTAGAATCCATACTGCACAGCCGTAATTTGTCAGTTATAGTTTATTTTTCTCAGGGTCAACTCTCTTTTAGTAGTTAATTTTTTGGAGAATCATCACTCTATTTGAAACTAGTTTTAATGTTTCTACATTTTGATAAAATAGAATTTAAAATAAGCATAATATACCTTGATTTTTTTCCTTGAATGATCTAGGGAGTAACCATGTGAAAAACATATAGCAAGACATGAAAGATAATGGAGAAAATTTATCAAGATCAATAGGAAAGATTTACGATGGTAGGTTTCTACTGGATTTACTAGTAGTATTAAATTTTTGCCTATATTATAACATACATTGTGGATTTCTCCTTATTTTCCCCAAAAAACATTAATAGAAAAGCTCACAAAAAAGTTTCTGTGTTTTTAAAATATTTCATTTAAAAGCGATACTGTTTGCAATAAATAAATTATTGTTCAATACTTATTTAAGTTTTTGTGAAATCTTTAGGAGGCTTAATGCCAAACTAGAGAAATATCTGATATTTTATCTGGTATTTTGCACACTGGTTTTATAAACAAATTACTTTAATCTATTATGCTGCAAAATGAATGTTCCCGAGTGTTTTGATATTTATTTTTAACATTTTACTATAACATCAATGATGTAATTAAATATGATTATCTTTGTCAAAAATAGAGCAATTTAAAAATAATTTGTTGTCGATTACTCTCCATTACATTACATTACTGTTTTCCTCTTTGTTACTAATTAGTATACATTTTTTAATGTTATAAATATTTTTATAGAAAAGAAAAAAATGTTTTATTCATAGAAATAGTGTAAATAAACATCTAATTTTAAAACTGATTATTTAATTTGAACGGACTAAGTTTACTCTTGTTGCATTAATTCTTTACAGGAGAAAAGCATTTTAAACGTTTACTTAAAAAAGAAAACATCAAGACGTTTACAAGAATAAAGGGGTAAAATTTTATTGCTCAGAATGCCATAGGTGTCAATATACAGTGAAAACTCGCGGTAACTTATTGCAATGATCTCAATTGGTACTATGCTTTTTTTGTTAATTTCTCTAAATATTACAAAATATTAATAATATTATCCTATAGCTTTTGAGCTATTAACTGATTAACTTTTTTTTTCCTGTCAAATTTGCAATTACCACTTTATTCCCCGGGAGGTGCGAATAATCTCTGCTGTCGCAATTCCAATTATAAACAATAATAAATTTTATTAAAATGAAGGGAAGTCAAAATTTACACGATACTAAAAAACTGAAAGTAAAAACAAAGTTGGACTATTTAATAGGTGGAAAACGCATAAGAATTACCAACATTGAAACGATAAATATTGTATATTCAAATATACTCGCTGTCCCCTTTATTGGCACATTCTATTGATCCATGTGTTTTAAGCCATTGCTTTTTCTTACTGCCAGATATAAACAAATGATCTCTCTATTCTCTTTTAAAATAATTGGGCGTAATTGAAATTAGCATAACCAACTCATCAGGACAGGAAAAAATAAACTAAAATGAAAAGACGAATCAAAAATGGTATTATACCTACCTACTATTAAATTTCTATGTCACAAAAAAGCTATCAAACAATGAAGCAAATTTGCTTGCATTATAAAAGATAACTTATAAAAGTGGCACAAAAAGAATGTTAAACGACCAGCCTAAGACATCGATAATCTCCAAATGTAATTCTCAACCGCAAACTTCTATTTATAAGCAATAAAAATAAATGACGCTCATTAAATTCGAGGATGGGTCCCATTGTCACGTGGAAAGGTCTGGCGTCTTCAAGGATACTAATCACTGCACATTAGTAAACTGTCACAACACATCAAAAGGACACACGCCTAAGGATTTGGCATCATCAAAAAAAGTATTTGAAAACGTTATTGATTACTCGCAATTTGTTAATTCTTTTTATACGACCGTGGACGTTCGCCACTTTAAACATGATTTTGATGCACTTTTGTTGTGGTGCGCCAAAGACTGAATTGATGTCGTCATATTAATCTTAAAGAGATTTGAAGTGTTTTCGTATTCATTAATCTTGGTTACCTTTATGCTTCTTTCTTTTGGTGTTGCGTTTATATGCTAACACATGTTTAATTGGGACCAATAATAGCAGAATAATGTGGATATTATTGGTTAATTACTTCACTTACATTATATACTATGTTATATTTTCGACATTAACCTTTTCATTTAAAACGTTTAAAACCTACGCGTTTTCCTTGTTATTGAGAGTCGCAGTGTTAAATTTTATCTGACATTATCATGACATTCGTTCCTGTCTTTACTCTATGATGTACTGTAGTGCAACATGCAGTTGGATGTTAAGTCAGAATAAACCCGAAGTCCTTCTCTGTTTGTTCATAATTGAAATTTTGTAAAATTAGGAAATGTTTCTAAAATTTTGTTAGAGACAGAGTCCTCAACTTAACGAGTATCTAAAAGTAGTCGAAGGTTTTGTCAGTTATGGCAGCCGTTATGCTCTATTCTCTATATTTAGTAATCAAGGTGATAAATATGAATATACCTAGATGGAAAATAAGTATTATTGAGAAAATATAGTCTTGTATCATCATTGGAAAAGTTTGAGTTCATATTTAGGGACATAAATGAGAGCGACACTAAAAACTATTCTATTAATAAAAATTGAAAGACAGAACTTCTGGGTTCTTTTAATAGCATCATTGCTGTACGGTCCACCATTGATGCAAATAAAATAATAATGATTATGATGAGATTCAGAGAAATATAAGTATTGGTGCGAGTCAAGCACAAAAAATCTTATGAATATACAGACTAAATAAGACAATGTTTTGAAGAAGACATGAATAAAGTAGCAGCTTGTAAATCATCTGCTATACAATCCAAAAGAAGTAGCGTGCATTTCTTTATTCTTAAGAAAAATATGGTAATTACTGATAAACTCGAAGATGCTATAAGTGTAATGTAAAAAACCTTACAGATCTGGTTCCATAAAAATTAGCATTAATAGAATGAAATTAGAGTACTATATTTTGTTTATCGTTTTTATTGCGAATAATCTCCGTGGTCAAGTGACTTGCGTGCTGGTTTCAAGGTGTCGCCATCTCTAAGGTTCGATACTAGGTTGAGTCAATGAAGAAAATAACCTTTTCTATTTTGTCTCGGGTTGTGATACCGTGAATATTTCAAATTTACATAGTACAAGTGCTTTAGCTACCTAATTTGGGACCCGAACATGTATGTTATGTTTTATAATCTAAGAATTAAGATATTTGCCAAATATGCATATTTGTTATGCTCACATCGAGTTTCTGAGCATTATAGGAAATGAATGTATATACATATTATTAAAAATAGCAAAACAATGGTACCATTTTTTTAACCCCACTCTTTAAACAAAATAATAATTTGGGTATGTTAAAACGTTATTCCGTAGTAAAATGTAATAAAATAAGTATAGATAAAGCTTATGCATAAAGTATTTGCATATACATTTGTACTATTTCAGCTCAATTAAGAGTTTGTATAGTCATATTCGCATTTTATACAAATTATTTATCTATTACAATCACTTCAACCTTTCTGTAGCCGTATTAGATATAAATTACTGTATTATTAAACTATCATCTTCATATCAATGTATAGTCTAAGCATCTTGTTTTTGTGAAGATTCACTAGCTCAATAATAAACTAATTAGAGAACCACAATACTTACATGCCCCAGCAACGTGGATCTTCTTCATCCACGGATAAATAACCCTGTCAGTATTATCCGAACATATTGAAGAATCGTCATCTTCAACTGGTGGACTGTCTAAAAGTAACCGTTCATCGTCCATTTCTGAAACGGGCGAGCCTTCTCTTCCTAACGCATGAAGTTTTCTTCCAGCAGGCGCCGCTTCTTCTATATGCCTTTCTAGTCTTAAGCCGAGCTCAGCGAGGCCTGGGGCAACTTCCCCGTTGTGAGAAGGAACGTATCCATGGTCTGCGTCTGATGGATGCGATGGCTCCGGCGGTCTCGGAGGGGGAGCAACTGGAGGATGCTGAGGTAACGGGTGATAATATCCTCCGTACCCGTAACCTGTGCCGATTTGGACGGGCGCGTACTGATGCTGATATCCATATTGGAGATGTTGGTGTTGGTAATATTCCCCTGGCGGTATATAGTCCGCTTGGCTGTACTCTTCGGATGGCGGGAACTTGGGGTCCGGCTGCGGTTGATACCCGCCGTTCATGAGGAAGGAGCTCATGATGGGCGTGGTCGAGACGGCGCATCACCTCGCTCTAACGCCTGCTAATATGGCCGCCATTTAATGACCATACGAGCTCATTTTAATATGCGTACCCGTTTTTATATTCACACAAGTATATTTACAATCATGAATATAAACAATGTTCTGTACAAACTTATCACTTAGCATTTATAATCTATTTTGTACATAAAATTAAATCTTAGATATATTATCTTCAAAGCTCATAACAATAACTTTATTTATTCATGTTTTATTAAGTTTTGTTTATGATATATTTTAAGATATCACTTTAGACGTTGCACTATAGTCAATATCCTCTTGTAAATATAAAATACTGTGTTTAATGTTTCCTTTATCAATAATATTGTTTCTCAGTTACCAGACATTTGCTTTTTTATCACTCACAACTCTTAAAATCACAAGATTGATAGAATGTCCACAAAATCGTTAACACTATCACAAACATCAATGTTTCTCTCGAGTCCACACTTTTGGTATATTAAAATTATTGCAGAGTCATTTGATTTATCACTTTTTGATAATAAACAAAGGAGTAAAAGGCGCGCGGCTATCCCGCGACGACATTTTGAGATAATATACACTGACTGCCCGACAGGCTAGCGCACTCTGTCACTTTAAGGACTCCTATACATGTTCATCAATTTTTACATACCACCTTCCATTTTTAAGGCGGAGCTGTTCTTGGCTATCTTATTCGGTAGTATTTCCTTAAATATAAACCTTATTCTCAACGCTGACGACCTAAAATCGCTTATATTCGACAACGTGAGCATTAAACCGCAACAATAACGCTCCCCCTTCCACTCATAAATAAGCTAATAGGTGCGACTGAAATAGAAACAACAACGGCCGTCGAGAACAAAAAGGGGAGGACTATGTCTGTCCCTTTTTGACGCTCCAGTTTTTGTATACGAACATAAGAGACAAAAGTTTGGCATGGACTTATTGCGTATAGAAGATTAAGAAGCTGCTTTAATAATAATACAGAATGAACATGGTGTCTGTTCCTAACTACACCGGTGTTTTAAATATTTAATATTCTAGTTTTCATTAATGGGAGACACAGATAATTATTATAATGACTACAAAACGTGCATTTAATTCCCAAGTGTCACTTTTCATACCAATTATGAACAAGTCCTTGGAGCTTACATTTAATGCTTTATTTGGTACTATATTTAAAAAAACTCCTTTTTTCTTGTTGATTAAAAAAAAAAGAACTGAAGAAGGATTCATAATAGATGAGAAATAATTTTAAATTAAATTTTAAGAACACTTCATTAAAAAAAAAACTTCTTAGTATTCCTAAATTCTTCTTCATGTTCTTAAATTAAAATAAATACGTTTGGTTGTTGTTATTATTGTAACAGTTGCAATCCTGTGACTTTGTTAACTGATCGTATAATAAACAAAAATCCGGAAATAACTAATGGAATCAGAAACTACTAAAGCATGCATTCATGACAGTATTAACTTTAATCTAGTATAAAACTCATTTGTAATTAAAACCTTGACCGAAGTACTGGAAGCTGGCAAAATCAACATGGCCCAAAACAACACAGAAAAAAATAAAAAAAAACAGTTTATTTCAATTCAAAAAATCTTAAACACCAACGACTTGTAAGAGGACACCGAATCCTTGTCCAACTACATAATCCCAACTAATCGGTACCAACACCAACTAACAAACAAACAAAAACAAAGCACCAAAATCATGCGTATCATGTAACGTAAGCTTCCACCGCTCACCGACAAGGGAGCCGACTAAGCAGCAAATAAACAAAAATGTCCGGTGATTTTATTGAATTAGGCTATCACAATCGGGCACCGTCGTGGACGTTTCTGCTGAGTCACGGCTTCCAAGCGGCCAGACACAAAAGGTGGTAACAACCGATCAATGGATGTTTGATCAATAATAGATGTGTTTCTCCGACCGTTCGAACAGTTTGGTCTGGCTATAGGCAAAATGTTAAAACTAAATGTATTTTAGGAGTAGTTAAAGATACTATTTCTTGTCCATCGAACATTTGAATACCTAGACATTTTTTATACCACATCCTCTATTTATAAAAATGAAAACTGTCGTAAATTTTATTGTTTGACAATGATTGTAAAGATAAAAGGTTTTGAAATTCAACCACCATAGAGAATTGGAATAAGTAAATTTATAGAACTCTATTGTATAAAAAGTTTATATTTAAAAAATATATTTTACAATTGAGCAAAGTTTTGTAGAGACTTCGACTATATAAAATATTTTAACTATCATGATTATAAAATAGCATTCCATTGACTATAGGTAGAATAAATTGAGTGTAATTTTCTATACAAAAATTGGTAGGTGAAATGAAGTAATATTGGTACACATAAAATTAAGTATCATAAATAATATTGTATTAAAAGAATGACAAATACGAATAAAGATAAAATGATAAATTTTTCCCGCAAGATTTTGGCGAAGGACTGATAAATGATACAACCTTAAAATGCCAACATTTAATAAATACGCCCACAATATGATTTTTCTCATTAAAAAAAAAGGTTTTAAAAACTTAGTATACAAAATTCTTAATCATTGCGACATTTTATAGATATTCTATCTTCAACAAAGTTTCTTTTGCGAAGTAACTTTAGCCCCCTGATGTGTTTTTTCTCGTTACGCTAACTGCCTGGCAGCTCGTTCGATCCAGCACAAACTTAATCCAAGTTTAATGAACAATACGACAGACCCTTAATCAAACTTTGGATTTCCTAAGTGACTAACGGTTGCATCATTTAAAACTTTATTTTGTAAAGGATAAGTATCAGATTTCGATTCTCAATTTAATTTATATAAGATCATTTGAAATTACAATTTTACAACTCAAGATAAACCTATTTAGCTTACTTTGATAACGTTATTTGTTTCTTTCCTTTACTTTGCTATAGTAAGAAGGTCCTTATAAATATTAAACAAACTTTTATTCTACGTTAATTAATCATAATAATAGATAGGTATTTATATCAATCAATTCACAAATGTATTATATTTAAAAAGTTACTTGTATATTTTCGTTCAATTTGGCGTTGCATGAACTGTAACATATTCTTACTATTAACTTATATTTTCATCTTGTTGTCACCTACTTTGTAGTAGGTATATTTATAAATTTTGAAGAATAATTCGGATATCACCATAAGTTAACTAAAATTCTTAATTTGGAAATTTATTACAATAATTAGTGAAACAAACTGAATAATGAAATTTTTTATATGTATTATCGACCAATGTATAATGTGATCTTAGTAATGTTAGAAATACATAATATAATGTTGCTATATAAATTTTTCCGATTGAATTATTAAATATCTCACTAAATAACTGAGATGTCAATTATGATCTATATCAGTGACTTCTAAACTATTTACACACTTTAAGAATATACATAGATTATTGACTTTCATTGATTTTGAACAAAAAAATGAAGATATAATAAGCTGTTATTATAAATGTGCTTCTCAAAATCTTGATAATGAAACCCTTTTCATAACTAAAATAAAACCTAGTTTTAAAATGTACTGTTTGTTAATGAATATATGCACCTATTACTTTAGGTTACCAATTGAAGTTCTATAAGTTTAATCATGTTTATTATAATACTACATCAATATTTGCTTTTAGTTGATTTGATGACGACAGTCATGAATTTTTGTTCATTTAAAATCGAGTATTTCGAGTATGTTGGTACTTGTATTCCATTTTGCTTGCTCTATTCTATACAGAAGGATTTTTTCGATCTTCTTCATAAATGTGGTAGTAATTGTTTATGTTAAAACTAGAAATATTAAAAGTCTTTTCAGTTCCGTCTATGAGTAAGGGTAGTATAACTACCTTTTTGTTATTAAATACAAAAAATAATTACACAGTACCAATGTGGGAGTTGGAAAATTGTCAAAAACAGTTTTAAAACTTAAAATGTGTAAGATACATTGAAATATTATTTCATTAACATGTTACACTTGCACCAAAAATATTGAATCATGTCTTTTCCTTTTGTTTAATATAGTATATAGTTGACGTAGTTCTGCTTTTTTATTTCACTGTTATTAATTTTCGCCCAATTTCTGCGAGGAATTTTTTTATCAAAATGAGGGTTCGCATCCTTGTTAATGGGATATTGAATTGGTAGGGGATTGCATAGCCAATTTCTATAATGGCGGGTTGCATATCCTATCTTTGTTGCGCCGCTATTTTTTGTCGGCCCCTCCCTTCACCAAGGGCGAGACAGAACTAAATTTATGAGATACATAAGCGCCACATATGCCGGTTCTTGTTTCGCAGAATTTGTAAATAAGTTGAAGATTTTTGTCGACCAATGACTTCTTATTGCACAACAGAAAAACTGAAGGACAGAAATTATTACACAATTGTCTTATAGATTATGTTTAGGTTTGCCAGAGCTTTTTCCAGCCAACTTGACATTATATGGTACATAATATGAGTTATATTAAGGTAAAAGTATATAGTGCTGTGCACCACCATCACGAAATTAACTAATAATTAATTTAAAACAATCAAAATTCTATTACTGAAGATGATATTTGTGCCGACAACCATAATAAAACCTTTTTGATAGTTTTTGTGTAGTTTTTATATTTATAATGTTTTCTTTTGTATTAAACGAGTAATTTGTAGTAATTCTCTTTAATATTAGTAAAAAATTGTTGTACCTATGACCGAAATGTACAAAATGCTTCAAGTAGACACTGAGGAGCGGAAAAAAATTAAATAGAAAAGATGACTAGTCTTCTTCTTACAGAAATATAAATGATTTTATCGATTGAAATCGATCAACTGGACTGAAAGTTGATAAATTTTAAAGTTTAAAGTTATCCGTGGCCGAGTGGTTTAGATGTGTTCTCAAAACTGAGTACCTATCTGGGTTCACAACGGTCGGGTTAATATAGAAAATGAATTCTAAATTTTCTCGGATCTG